AAGCCAGTTTAACCCAATTAATTAAAAAAAAATAAAAGTAAAGAAAAACAAAAGGACAAACTGTTATGACTCATAGGTAGGCTATGTTCACACTGTCACTGTTTGGGAGTAACAACCGCATTTACTTAAAGATGTGTGTCTCAATGTTCTCTACACACAACAGCTTACAATAGTGTTTTGAATGCTGTCTGTATGAACAAGTACTTGAAGTCAAGCAGTGTTCTATTTGAGATTATTTCCTCTAAATAAATCTGAACCAGCAGCAGCTTTTGTAACTGGAGTAGATAGGATTATTTGAGTCACACACAGAGCACACCACTTGAACGAATCAGAGAAAGTGCTTCAATAAACAAATATTGTTTGTGGTTTGCCCTGACAGATACGTGTGGACTTGAGTCATGTTTCTCCAGAGCACAACTTACATTTGATGGTTGTGTCCTTGTCTAATTTTGGAAATAATTGAAGAGAATAGGAGTGCAATGATTCTGACTAAACACGTGAATACATGTTCCCCATACCAGTTAACATTTAGTCTGTGTTTTGTTTTTAGCATTTTAAATATGTTTTATGTTTTAAAATGGTGGGCAAAGATGTTATATTTATGAGAGCAGTAACTGTAAAGGGGGTATACATGTAATTACTACAGTTGTTACATGTAAAACAATTGCTATGCTAATTTACTATATTCAGAATATACGTGTATATACACGTGAATACATGTTCCCCATACCAGTTAACATTTAGTCTGTGTTTTGTTTTTAGCATTTTAAATATGTTTTATGTTTTAAAATGGTGGGCAAAGAGTTTTTTTGTTTTAGAATGTCATGTTTATATTTTTAACCCTTTTTTTGCAAATGTGTAGCACAACCTACATAAATACATTCACTATATTTGTTTTCTGTGAGTTCAGTTTTCACATTGTTTGGAGGACAAAATTGGGCAGGATGTAGGGGCCCACAGTTTGCACAGTTCACAGGGCAGCTTTGGGTTAGTTGCTCTGTGCTGTTTAATGTATGGTTGTTGGAATGTTGTTCCGTTTTATTAATTACTGTCAGCTTTCACAGCAATACTGCTAAATGAGCAATTATCTCTATCAAACCATCAAACATGGACCTTAAAGGGATGGTTCACCCAAAAACTTTATTCAAATAAATATTGTGACAATCATGTTCATCAATCTGATTTCAGTGGCACAGCTGTGTAGTATCTAGTACAGAGATTGTTGACAGTATTGTGTGCATATTGCTGCATTGTACATGGTGTTCACTGCCCAATATTGTATTATTGTTTACACCTTCAGTAATTTGTACATTATTTCCTTATAAAATGCTCTAACATTTCTTTCCCACTTCTTTTCTCCACCAGACACCCTAGGACAACATCCTAAGATGCACCGATCTACCTAAAGCCCTCCATCATTCCCACACCCATCTTGCAACAAAGTTTCATTAAGTGCAGTCCATAACCAGTGTCTGCCATGCACGGTCTGCACCTTGTCCATTGCAGATGTTATGGATTATTCTATTAGAGATCTTTATATTCTTTATTTGAGACTGTTATTATGTAGAGACTGTTATGTTGTGAATAAAGTCAACCCCCCCCCTACATCGATGCTTTCAGCAGTTAATACATTAAAGTGTGTCCTTAATGTTTTATTGTTTAAACATTGTTTTAAATTTTATTACAGGCTCAGTGAATTTTCTTTCACTAAAAATAAAGTGTAATATAAACTGTCATAATCAAGTCTGGGACGTTTGTCAGTATCATTAATTTTGTGAGGCAATATGAATCAAATGAACATTTGTGTAGTGTTTCATCCAAAGGCTTCTTCCTCATTCAGTTAAACATCAAGGGTTTTCTTTGCCTTTGTCACCTTTAACTTTCTCATTGGAAATTGTGAGCATCATTATTTGGAACAAAATAAGAATATGAAAATGGCTTTGTGTGTATTACACTGTTTCAATGCATGGCATGGAGTC